GTGCCACCGTGGTTGCTCTCGTTGCAGACGAGCGGGAGGCCGTGCAGAAGAAAACCTTCACCAAGTGGGTGAACTCCCATTTGGCTCGTGTCACCTGCCGCATCTCCGACCTCTACATGGATCTCCGGGACGGGCGGGTGCTCATCAAGCTGCTGGAGGTGCTGTCAGGAGAGCTTCTGGTAGGACCCCCAGCCAGCCAGAGACCCTGGGACCCGTGCCGTGCCGTGCCATGCCCCACCGGCTCCGGTGCTCCACCAAGGCTCTTTGACCTTGGCGTTGACCAAGGCTTCAGCGGGGTTGGGGTGGCCGCAGAGGTGCAGGGATGTCCCCGGGTAGGGGTGGGGGTGCCCAGCATGGAGGAGGGGAGGGTGCTGAGCTCTGTCGTGCTCCAGCCCAAGCCCACCAAGGGTCGGATGCGGATCCACTGCCTGGAGAACGTGGACAAGGCGCTGCAGTTCCTGAAGGAGCAGAGGGTGCACCTGGAGAACATGGGCTCCCACGACATTGTGGACGGCAACCACCGCTTGGTCCTCGGCCTCATCTGGACCATCATCCTCCGCTTCCAGGTAGGGCTCCGGTGGGTGGGGGGCACCCCCTCAGCTCAGCACCCCGTGGCAGGAGCCCTCCTCCGTGGTTGTCCTCTTCCAACCCCAGCATGTCCTTCTGCCCCCCAGATCCAGGACATCATCGTGCAGACTCAGGAGGGCCGGGAGACGCGCTCTGCCAGGGATGCGCTGCTGCTCTGGTGCCAGATGAAGACGGCGGGGTAGGTGGTGGAACCCACACCCCACCGTGCCGGGGACCAGGGGGTGCCCAGAGGGTGACGGTGTCATCCTGTCCCCATCACAGGTACCCTCACGTAAATGTCACCAACTTCACCTCAAGCTGGAAGGACGGGTTGGCCTTCAACGCCCTCATCCACAGGCACAGGTAGGCACCAGGATGTGCCGGGGCAGCGGTGGCCCCGGGGGTGTGGGGGTGGGGGCGATGTCCCACGGGCGCATCACCGCTGTCCCGCACCCTCTGTCCCCAGGCCTGAGCTGGTTGACTTCCAAAACCTGACCAAATCCAACGCCCGGCACAACCTGGAGCACGCGTTCAGCGTGGCGGAGCGGCACCTGGGCATCACCCCCCTCCTCGACCCCGAAGGTGAGGCTGCTGCTGCCGACCCTCCTGCCTCAGTTTCCCCGTTTACACCTTGGGATTTCCCCAGGCCCTAGAGAAGGACAGAGAGGTTTCCACCCGATGGAAGGAGGGTCTGGATGGAGCAAAGGGGGGACCTCATGAGGCTGTGGTGGCCCATTGTCACTGGGGTGATGCCGGGGCGACGCAGGGGCTGGGACAGGGCTGATGCCTCTTGTTTGCGCCGGGCAGATGTGTTCACGGAGAACCCCGACGAGAAGTCCATCATCACCTACGTGGTGGCCTTCTACCACTACTTCTCCAAGATGAAGGTGCTGGAGGTGGAAGGCAGGCGTCTGGGCAAGGTAGGAAACGGCGTTGAGATGGAAGGGGAGGGGGGTGGCGCGTTCTGCCGGGGGGCCGGCACCCCACGCTCACCACCGGCCCCCGCCGCAGGTCATTGAGCATGCCAAGGAGACGGAGCGGATGATCGAGGGCTACGGGGGGCTGGCCTCCGACCTGCTCACCTGGATCGAGCAGACCATTGCCTTCCTCAACAGCCGCAGCTTCGCCAACTCGCTGGCCGGGGTGCAGCACCAGCTGCAAGCCTTCAGCACCTACCGCACCGTGGAGAAGCCCCCCAAGTAAGCGCCTCCCCCCGAGCTCCCTCGTGCCCCCACGGTGGTGTTGAGCACCCATGGGTGCCCCAGGCTGAGCTCTCTCCCTGGGGCAGGTTTCAGGAGAAGGGGAACCTGGAGGTGCTGCTCTTCACCATCCAGTCGCGGATGCGAGCCAACAACCAGCGCGTCTACACCGCGCACGAGGGGCGCCTGGTCTCCGACATCAACCGGGTACGGGGCCCATCCCGGCAGCCTGGCCACAGGCCATGGGGACACACGGCTGCTCCCGCAGCGCCTCGTGGCCTGGGGGCAGATCTTCACCTGGTATCTCCGGGGGATTTGCTCCCCAGGCTGTGCCGGGGCAGGTTGGGTCCGTCTCCCGGGGCAGGTTGGGTCCATCCCAGGGCAGTTCAGGTGCAAGAGCAATCCAGTTTCATCTCCTGAGGCAAGCTGCGTCCATCTCCTGGGACAAGTCAGGTCTTATGGCAGGCTGGGACCATCTTGGAGCAGATCAGATCCTAGGGTTTACTGGGTCCAACCCGGAGGAGCTCAGGTCCATCTTGGAGCAGATCAGATCCTAGGGTTTACTGGGTCCAACCCGGAGCAGCTCAGGTCCATCTTGGAGCAGCTCAGGTCCTGGGGTTTACTGGGTCCAACCCGGAGGAGCTCAGGTCCATCTTGGAGCAGATCAGATCCTAGGGTTTACTGGGTCCAACCCGGAGCAGCTCAGGTCCATCTTGGAGCAGCTCAGGTCCTGGGGTTTACTGGGTCCAACCCGGAGGAGCTCAGGTCCATCTTGGAGCAGATCAGGTCCTGGGGCTTGCGGAATCCAACCCAAGGCAGGTTGGGTCCATCTCTCAAGGCAGTTCAGGTCCATCTCCCATGACAGATTGGGTCCATCTGGGGCAGGCTGGGTT